GTGAAAGGATCACTTGAGCCCAGCAGGCTGAGGCTACAGTGAGCCAAAATTATGCTATTGCATTCCAGCCTGGGTGATGGTAAGATCTTGTCTCAAAACAACAATAACAAAACAATTTAAAAAGACTAAAATTATACACTGTTTTCTTTTTTGGGGGGTGGGTGATTAAATGAGCCTTTATTAGAACGTTGTAGCAGTTGTGTTTGAAGGCGGCTGCCCTACAAAAAAAAATTTTAATTTAAATCCTTATTTGCATGAGCAGGAAAACCAGGGCTGAAGCTCAACTGGAGCCGGTGGAACCCAGTCCTCACGGAGACACACGCATGTAAGTGGGCACGGGGACGCCCTTGCACTGTCATGAAGCCAGCCCAGCGTGCAGGAAACACAGAACGGCTTCTGCCTTTCCTCTCATAGAACCAATTTTTAAAGAGTGGGACAGGAAAGAAGCAAAAATGAAACTAAAAGCAGACCAGACCTGATCCTTTTAAAACATTTTTGTAGACTCTAAAGGGAGTTACAAAAAAAAAAAAAAAAAGGCTGAAAGCAAATCCTGACAGCAACCCCTAGGTTTAAGGACAGGTTCTAAACTAGACCCAAACGGAAAACCTGAAGTTTGTGCGCAGCGGCTCGCCGCACACCTGGACGGCGCCTCCCGACCTCCACACACCTGTGCACGTTCACCTGCTAGGAACAAGGCCAGGGTGGCTTAAGATTGCGTCCATCGAAATGAATAGAAAAAAGGAAAGAATTTAATAAAATAAACCACAACAGAAAAACCCCGCAACAGTCCCCACTCCAGCTTCCTGCTCGGGGCTGCTGCCGACCGGATCCTCTCCTCCTCCCTTCACGGGCAGCTTCTGGCCTTCATGGGCAGCTTCTGGAATCCCTGCTTCTCTGGCTGGGTGTGTTCCTCAGTTTGTTCTTCTGCTAAGTCTGGGAGGTCCGGGGGCGGGGGTCTCCAGAACAAGCAGTAGTGGAGGCGTTCAGCCGGAGCGAGGGTTGCCTCTGTCATCCTGCATCTGTCCGTCAGTCACTGGGGCTGACTGGCCGTCCTTGCCAGGGGCTGTGGCACCATAAACTGCCCACCCTCCAGGGCACAGGGCCAGCGGGACGGCGCAGCGCACAACAAAGACCCCAGGGTCTGCACGGTTTACTTTTAACTCCATCATTATGAGGTGATTAAAAAAAAAAAAAAATCTTTCAACTTACAGATCGCCATGGGAAGGCAGTCAAAGATCGGGAGCCTAAGACGAGGAAAAGCAAAAACAAAACGAAATGCCCCGCTCCGTTCAGAAGCCCCGGGCGCTGGCCTTGCCCATGTGCGTCGCAGTGTCCAGGGTGAGCCTCCCGTGTGCCGGCAGGGGCTGAACAAGGGGGCCGGGAGCAGAACCAGCCCCCAAGGTCCACTTTTCTGCTGGTGTCGGGCAAACTAAAGGCAAAGAGAAAGGAAGAAAGCCCACGGGAAAGGTTCCCCAGCGATGATCCTTGTCCGCCTATGAGGCGACACCAGCCCCCCAACCCTGATGAAACTTTGCAGCCAAGAATTGAGGTCTCGCCTCTGCAGCACGGCCGGTGCTTGCTCTTGGGACGGGCACGGTGTCTTCCCGAGCCAGCGGAGGGTGGTGCAGTGGGTCCTTCTAGACTGGGGGCCAGGTGGGGAAGGAGGGAGCCCGTCTTCCACGGGGCCTGGCTCACACTATTTCCACGTGGCTGACTGGGGGATGGAGCGGGGTGGGATCATGTCCAGGAGGTACTCTCGCTGGCGGTCCACGGCCGAGGAGCTCTTGTGCACCACCAGGCTTGGGCTGACAAACGCAAGGGTCCCGCCTGTGCTGAGGGGCGTCTTCTTCCAGTTGGAGGTGCTGCTGCCCTTGACAGGTTCATTCGGAATGTCTGCCGGTCCTGCTGACCAGGGCTGTGGCCAAGGCTGAGTTCTGCAGTTTGGGTGACTGACTGAACGTGTGCAGGACATCTCGGGGCGTCATGGCCGAACCCTGGGACAGCAGGCTAAAGGCCTGTAGCACAGCCCCGTTACTCTAGTCGCAGGCCTCTCCTGAGCGGAACGCCAACCTACGCCGGAGTTTTATGACCTGCTTCAGCGTGGGATGTGGGGCGGCGGCGGCCTCGGCCTTGGCCTGGGCCTGTGCAGCAGAGGCTGCGCCCTGCTGCAGGAGCCGCTGCTCAATCTCCTGCTCCTGCTGCAGCGCCTTCACGAAGGCGGCCTTCAGCCGGCTGGTGTGCTCCACCTTGAGCGCCTTCTTCTGGTTGGTCGTCATGCAGTTCTCACACATGATGGCGCCGCTCTTCTCCTC